GGACAGCAGCTGCCGCTTGTCGACGATCTGGCCCTCTTCGTTGATGGCGATATGCGCGCCCTTGGCGTTGAGCTCTGCCGCGATCTGGGCCTCCGTCTTTTCCTTGTTTGTTTCCGCTTCGGCGGCCGCTTCGTCGGCCGGGATCTCGCCCGCTTGCACCCGTCGCGCGGCCTCCTCCGCCGCCTTGACGACTTCCTCGTGCCGCTGCTCATCCCGCGAGAGCATGTCCCGGTAGAATCCAACCATGCCCGTCCCGCCGTTCTGCTTCCGCCGTTCCTCCTCCTGCCGCTCCCGCTCCGCTTCTTCCTGCTCGATCCGCCGCAGCTCCTCCTGCTGCGCCTTGTACGCGGACGTCACGAACTTCTCCTTCTCCGCAAACTCGTCGCCCTCCGCCTCACGCTCCTTGGCCAGCAGCCTGTCCCGCGCGCGCAGCTGGTCCCGCTTGCGGATCTCCGCGCTGCGCAGCAGCGAGGTCATGTACCGCGGCCCGTCGCTCTTGGCGTCCGGCGCGGCGGCTTTGGCTTTGTCGGATTTGGCGTGCAGGCTGTCATAGATGGCGTCGTAGGAGTAGATGGTGGGGTCGAGCTGCTGGGCGTCCTCGGCGTGTTTCTTGCTGCTGCGGAGGGCCGACAGGTCCGTGTACTCGGTGCGGGATGGGGCGCTGGGTTTGTTTTTCGCGGGGTTGAGCCCCAGAGGCATCGCTTGTGGTTCTTGCTCCTCCTCCTCGTCGGCGAAGAGGGAGCTCTTGCTTAGGGGTTTGATGTTGGGCTTGCCGGTTGAGGGGACTGCCGGCGGTTTTCGTTTGGCGGGCGGTTCTCTGGTTTGTCGGTCGTTGGGGGACGGTCTAGCTGGTTCTTCGAGTCCGCCGATTGTGGTTATCTCGACGGGGCCGTCGCCGTCGCCGTCGCCGGCATCGTTCTGGTTGTCGCCTTCGGAGTCCGAGTCGAAGATGGTCTTCTTGCGTTTTTGTGAACCTGGCGGTCCGAGTTTCGAGGTCGGGGGTTTCTTGCTGGGGAGGTTGAGCCCGTAAGACAGTTTTGGAGGGGCCATGGTGATACCAGACGAAGGCTGTAAGGCCTGTCCCCAATTCGCGCAGTAGGGTATGAGCAACCTATAGAGAGGTATTTGAAGTTGAAGATATATTTCTCCGTAGTAGAAGGTGATGAGTTCATGAGATGTTATCTTATCAGCCACGTGACTCTATCATCTCCCCCCAAACAAACTGACCCATGTCCCCCGGTATTTACCTACGCTTGCGGAGCGAAGGACTATTTCCCTCTTGAAAGTGACTACTTCTGTTAGATAAAATGTCATACTACTTCACCATCCTCTCGCCAACCGATGCTCCCTTATTCAATATCGCCTTTGGCACCTCCAAAGGCGGCGGCGATGGCATCGCACGATTCCGCTTCCCAGACACAGCGCAATACATGAACCAATTCATCATCCACTCGAGTCTGGACATTGTCGAGGAAGCCCAATGGATGAACGGCAATATGTAACTGCCCACAGTTCCGATCTTACTGACATTATAACTGAATGTTAAATGCTAAATGGTACAGGTACCTCAAACACATCGACACCTACCCCCCCGCCTCGGCGTATATCTCCGCGTTCCTCACACCCTCCGGAACAAGATTCTTGCTCCTCCACCAGCCGCCTCAGTTGCCTTCGACGGGGACTGCGGGGTCCGGCTCGTCGCTGCTCGGCTCGTCCTTCTCCGTCGGTGGGGGCAGCTCGTCCCGTGCGTCGAGTAGCTCGATCGCGGCGAATCCGACCTCGCCGCAGACGGAGGAAGCCGTGCGGCAGTTCATGAACGAGGTGTATGAGAATTACGTCAAGACGGCCATGAGTCCATTTTACCGGCAAGGAATGGAGATCCGGAGTCCGGTGTTTCGGTCCAGGGTTGTGGCTGCGGGGAAGAAGTGGTTGTGATTCTTTGCCTGCCCTTTTACGGCTGATGCATTTTACCTTGCGGAGCGTGGCGTTGGGGTGTGGCTTACTTTACTACTATGGACTTGCATTAAAAGATGCATCGAAAGTGCATGGGTTCAACTCGTGTATTTATTTGATGCCCATTAACCTCTGCGCCGTGTACCAATGCAGAGTATCCGATATTGTTGCTCTGTTCTCATAATCTTGCTTGCATCGACCAAGGGGGAATTTGGCAAGCAATAATAAGCTCGCTAATGATTCAAAAGATGGAGCATGCCCTGCAAGATGAGCGGACGAAAGTAGCTCTTCCCAAATGTGATGATAAAAGGGGGACTGAAAAGCAAGAAAAGATATATGCCGCTGTCGCTGTTTCCAAGGGACCAAGACCAACAGAACGCCTCCCTAAGATTACCTCCGACCCACTTCATCCCGTCATTTGAGGGGCCAGCTTCTTCACAGTACTGTTTTTGAAATTCTCCACCGCATGGATCACGTCGTCTGCTTTGCCGACGGCGCCAAAGATGCCGCCTTCCATCTTGACGGATTCGAGCGTACTCACATGGAGGGACGGCTCGCCGGCGGCAGTGCAGTCTTCCAGGATGACGCAGTCGAAGCCTTTGTCATTCGCCTCCCGCATCGTCGTCGACACACAGACATCCGTGGTGACACCTGCAATGACCAGATTCTTGATGCCTTTGTTCCGAAGAAGAAGCTCAAAGTCGGTGTACGAAAATGCACTTTTACCCGGCTTGTCGATGACCGGCTCCTCAGGCAGCGGATACAGTTCGTCGACGATGTCGTGTCCAACTTCACCGCGTATCAACAAACGTCCCAATGGCCCTTGGGAGCCAATTCCCATGCCGGATGCATTGTTCCGCGACCGAAACGCCTCCCTATTTGAGAGAGTTGATAGATCAGGCCGATGACCTTTACCACACCGTTAATCAGAAGTCCGCCACCAAGACTAGAGTATCGGGGTTTTACCTTCACGAGTGTGGTAAACAGGAAAGCCAGCAGTACGGAATGTATTCAGTACCTGCTGCAGTTTGGGGATGAGACTTTGCGCTGCTGAAATGTCGTAACCTTGGTATTCCATGTAACCGCCAGGCGAACAAACTGCGATGACCGTCAGTGGTGATGAGCATTCGGACGCAAGCGCGAACAACATGAATGTGCGGAATACATACAGTCCTTCTGCATGTCGATGATGACTAAAGCAGTCGTATATGGTGTTAGAGTCGCATCATGCGGCCAATCATAGGGAACCGCTGGAATCTGGCCCTTTCGAACCTTATGCTGCGGCAGTGGTCGCGGCTTCTCGACAATAGGCCCATGATTGTGAGTTGGATTTAACACTGTCAACGTCCAGATGCCAGGAGTACCAGCTGCTACCAGCATAAACGGACAGTCCATCAAACGAGATGTTCGTCGCCGCTTTCTCGTCTCCTCTGTGAGCCCGTTTCGGGGCCGATAATGGCCTCCCCGATCGCACCGGAGCCACACTTTAGCTGTACGTCCGGGCTTCTTCTCGGTAGGAGTGCTGGATGACTTGACCACAACATTGTATCCATGTGCTTTGCTGTGAGCTTGCACTGCGGCAAGAAGAGTAGCTCTTTACATGTAGGGAAGGATATGAGTAGCGGTCCAAGCAATGTATCTAGAATTGGGTGACAAAAGGGCGGCTAGCATAATTCATGCATACTTACTTATCGGGATATGTTCCTTCTGGAGGAGGCACAAGCTGCATGGACATATCTGGGATATCTTGAAGATCGCTAGGCGCGTCGAGATTCAGATCGGTGGGGTCCGCCATCTCAACAAGTCGTGTGGATCTTCACGGGAAAGGGAAGATCTGGAGAGCGCCATATTAGTATCATAGGCCCATGGTGACCGCTCACCAAGCTCTGTTTGGGAGGGAAAAAACAGAATAAAAGACCAATGGCCATTTCAGATCGACCAGATGGGTAGCTGATTGTCGATTTGAATGTGCGTGGAAGCAACTCTCCGGTCTACTGTGAGTAGTATGATGTGCGTGGATATAACACGATCTATCACCCTAGCTTGGAGACTAGGCCGAAGTTGAAGGAGTAAGGAGGGAAGAAGCGCCCGTAAGAGTCCGATAGGAGGGAAAACAAGCAGAGAGAGGGAACGCAAGTGGACAATAGCAACTTACCGGGCCAAAATCAGGGAATAGAACTGGGAAGTGGGAACCAAGCAATAATAACCTCCAGATCACTTTCTTGTCGCCCCAGACTTCCACTGCCCATGAGGCATGCCCCCGGAGCAGTCACTGACCTTTGATCGTCGGAATACGCACAGCGCAGGCGGTGGAAATCGAGCTGGAGGACGAGACCAGTACTAGACCACTATAGGTCTAGTGATGTTTTTATGAGGTCGTAACATACACGAATTTGTTACACTACTGCACTGATTAATTACCATGTGACAGTTGCCGTCAGGTACCAAGCCTTGTACCTTTTGTACCTAACTGGTATCTACCGCCAAACTGCGGATACTATGAGCACCCAAAGTACCTTAGGTACCTAAAGTACTCTAAAGCGGTATGCTAGTGCTTAATCCAGTTGGTGAGGTTGTTTTGTTCCCGTGGACACCGCCCTACTATCTGTCTAGTCTCTAGCCTATCCAGCTGGATAACATCACCATCACAATCAACCCCCCCAAAACAATCACCCATGTTTCAACCAGCCCCCTCTGAGAGGGTTCCGCAAAGGTAAGTTTGGATCTTCTCAGTCTTCAACTTCAGTTATTCTAGTATTGTTTTCTCTTCTTGATTTCTATTTTCCTTCTTTGTCTCTATCACTCTCGAGTCCCTGGTTATTACCCCCGATCAACTGCGACACCGCCTCCGCGAGGGGTCCCCCTCCACCGGTTCACGCACGGTTGTTGATACTATTCGCGGCGTGCATGAACTCGGTTTCCAGCTGTTTCGTGACGACGCTCTCTCTGTCCTTCAATTCACTGCTTGGAAGTGAGTCGTTACCTTTGCTCTTGTGGACGACCTCCGTGTCCGTCTTCGGTCATACCGCCCCCCTGGTCCCGGAATAATGCCCTCGGCCGACGGTTCTTCCTCTGCTCGCCCCAATGGTACCAGCTCCCGGTCAGATCAGCTTGCATGGTATAAGACGCAGTATGAGCAACTAGAGGCTGAGCTAGCGGATTTTCAGGCCTCCAGCCGTGAGCTGGAGGCGGAGCTGGAAAAGGATATCGAGGCATCTGAGAAGCGGGAACGGTTGTTGAAGGAGAAGGTGGATAGCTTGAAATACGAGGTCGAGGAGTGGAAGGTTAGATCGGAGTTTACCTGCACTGCTGGTGACGGACAGGGGGCTAATCTGTGACTTCCTCGGCAGACCAAGTACAAGCAATCCAAGTCGGAGGGAAACTCGGCCCAGAACACGTTACAGAAAGAGATCACGACTTTGAGGGATGCAAACAGGACGCTACAGCTGAAACTGCGAGACATCGAAGTCGCAAACGATGATTATGAACGTCAAGCCCGGCATACGACTTCGTCCCTGGAGGATCTGGAGTCCAAGTACAATGTCGCCATCGAACGAGCAGTCTTATTGGAAGAGGAAATCAGAACCGGGGAGCAGGAGCGGGAAAACTTGCGCATCGAGAATCAACGTCTGCGAGACGAGCTTTCGGATCTGAAGATAGAAACGGAAATCATCCACGAAAAGCTCCGGCATGCGGAACTGCAAAACAGCCGGCGCAGGAAGCCGATCTCCTTGCGCAGTCCATCAACACCACAGACACCGGATCTCTTCAATCGTTCTCCTGCTTCATCCATAGTTTCCTCGCCGTTATTCTCGACTCCTACATTGAAAACCTCGCTCATGTCCGCCACTGCAACGCCTCCGTCGCCGCCGATATCCGAGTCCTCGAGCAGCCTGCGCAAGTCAATGAATGCTATGCCTGGTTTCCCTCTTCAGAAGGCCTCGGCTTCTGACTCGTCATTTGGCACCCGGTCGCTGCATGGGTCCAGGACTCAGAAATATAACAACCACGCGCGTGCAACCTCGTACGCTTTTACGAATAACCGCCCCACGCCATCAGCGACCAATCGGCCCAGCTTGCCCAAGCCGAAGCCCAAGCCCCATGAAAACACCAACAAGAATAATAATAATGCCCGGTCGTCTGGGCTGCCGAAGTCAGGTTCACTGTATCAAATTCGTGGACTCATTGGCAAGATGCAGAAGCTCGAAGAGAGAGTTCAATCTGCAAAATCCAAACTGCCACCCCCGTCGGATTCACCGTCTCGTACGTCTTCTCGTTCGGGATCGATAATGGGCGAGAGCCCGGTTGCATCTACAATAACAGCCCGAAGGAACTCACGCAAACGGCTGAGCGGGAGTAGTTTCAGCTCGTCTATTCGAGACGGTGATAGTGTGCCCTCTTATGCTCCGCACAGTCGACGGACGCAGGGGGATAGTCGCCCAAGCAGTCGCACCAGCTACTCGAGCCACAGCTCTGTCAGTCACAGTACACATCCGAGCGTGACTCCATCAACACGCCCCGAGAGCCGCCAGAGTCGGACAAAGACACCACTGGGGCATTACTCGACCAACCCGACCACCGAGAGCCGCCGACCCCGGTCATCGCTCAGCAACCCCTCTACTCAGAATGGAGTCGTCAATGGGATGGCCCATATTGACGAGGATGAGGATCTTGCGTTGCATATGTCTTTACGGGCTAGGATCAGCGAGATCCGCGAGACTCGGCTTCCGTCCATCTCCACGCCGACTGGACTCAAGAAAAGAACCCCAAGCGGGGTCTCTGGTATCCCAGCGCCTCGAACATTGAGAACGAGCACTGACTTTGACCGGTTGGAAGGCGATATGGGGCCACCAGAGCGGAAATCCAAGATTACCGATCTTGGAGAAACATTTTAAATTGACCTGCTCGGACGATGTATCCGTCCGGTGCGTTGGAGTTGACCCACTTCAGAAGGTGCTCTCGCGAACCAGTCCGTTTCGTTTTTATCCTACATTTACATACATAATACCCTCAGAGCCTCGAATTTGAAGGTCGGGTTGCAGATTGGAGCATTGGCGTCCCCTGGAAGTTTTCGGCTGGACGCTAGAAGATTGATCATAGATGAGGGATTTCACTTTTGTTCGAGTGTTCTCTTCTCTGCTAGTCCCTTAGTAAAGGATAGTCACTGATTTGTACAGTTTGTCCGGGTCGATGGCGGAGTTGGGATCTCGTCTGGGAGCGCATTTGTTTCACATGCTCGCAGAAGCCGTTGCAGGGCCCTGCAACGGCACTGTGGCGTCCAAGCTGTTTCTCAGCACCACTTTCCTTCGAGATTTTATTTCATGTTACTACTTATTGTTGCCTTTGGCGTTAGAGAATACCCAGCGACAGTTCGTTAAATATCTTTGGGAACTTTATCGTAGCAGATCAGGGGATCTAGGTCAGAAACATAATCGTCCGGATGCCTGTGGAGAAATAGAGACTTTCGAAAAGGACCGTACGTCAGCGGGGGCCACCTGGACAACCTAGAGTCCCTGGCGCTGTACCAAGGAAAGGCAGTCGATCGGTCGTTTTTATAGATAAATGTGCCTGGCCCATCGCGCGTCCTGCTTTCCTTGTTTCTAAGGCATTCTTCAATGCAACCTCATGAAATCACGTTCGTATTTTAGGAGTAGTCTTCGTATAATACCGATAACCGAGAGACATGGTGTATCATAGTTACTCGTAAAGCCCGACTCAGATCCGACTAAATGCTTATCCTCGTATAAGACATCCCTGTAGAAACTAGATTGAAAAAGTTCCCGTTTGGCCCAAACAGGCGTTGATGACTTAAACTGGCAACTGGCAACTAGCAACGGGCAAGCCCAGCCAGGCCAGACTATACCAGAAGGAGAAACAGACCAGAAGGAGATGCAGAGCGCGGACTCTCTCTCCCCGTCTCCCGCCACTGTCAGATTTGCTGAGGGCGATCACTTCCCAAGGTCCCAACACGGTTGGCAAATATTTTGGTGGTGATTGGTTGTGGTGGATTGGTGTGGGGCGCCAACATGTCTGGATGCGGTTAGGCGGGTACTACTACTGTAGTACTGGTATCTGGATGTTGCTGGATTCGTCGCTCAGGGACCGAACCGTGCATTTGGTTGGTCTGTCTGTTGATGACATTTTTTTTTTTTCTTACGTGGGACTTGCACTTCTGTTAGAGAAACGAAAAGAAACGAAGAGATATTGAAACTCGAGAATATTTCAGGCTGAATATATTCGTCATGAGGGAGTATGAGCCTCGGAGGAGGATGTACGGAGTATAGTAACTGCGTCGCATCTTTTCGTATGTGCCGCCTATGTCCCGAATCCCGGCTGTCTGGCGCCGGAGCGGAGGTCTAGTCTAGATCCTTCTTCGTACTTCCTGCAGAGTATTACTCTCTTCGGGTAGATAGATTGCAATCGCTTTGCGACTGCGAGTTCTCGGCATTAGGACTATGGAGTAGATACTGACTGCCTGATTTCAGTCTGTATTCTGTAGACTAGATAGACAGAGATCAATAAGATACCGCTCCAGCCATGTGATGGCGGGCTGTTCGTTGACTTGGCATCGAGATCGAGATCCACAGGAACGGATGATATCTGAATCAGTAGCGGGAGTGCTATGCACTGCGTTAAATACATGGGATAGCGTCACCGATGCTTGGTAGAAGATAGGGAAGTCATTATTCTAATGCCATTGAGGCGGACGATGCATGGGGCGGAAGAAGGAAATCTGGTGGGAAGAAACGTCATGGGCCCAACAACAAGCGGCGGGCAGAAGTTGGGGATCCCTTTGGGGAGTGGATATCTTTTTCGGTGGTTTTTTTCCCCTCTCGGCCTTTTTCTCTCCTACTTCTCGATGGATAGTGCAGAGTAGACTAGATGACCTTGGCTTCCAAGTATCCGACTGGACCAACTATCCTACTGGACGACTGGACTGGAGTAACCAAAGCATAAGCCCAAAGTAAACCACGGTCTCGGACTTTAGGGTGTCGAGCCTTTTGGAGGTGAACTAGATCAAGTCCTTCATCTAAACTCAACTCTCCTCCTCTTCTTCTCTTCTGCTCTTCTTCTACTCTTCTTCTCTCTTATTCCTTTCTAGTCTCTCCAAATCATCAGCAATTTACATTCCGGGCGGGTTTTTCTGGTGGTTGTGGTAAGTCAACTATCTCCGTTTGCGACACAAGATCCGTCCCCATTTATTTCCGCTTCCTTCGAATCGCTCTCCGTCCCACTATTATTATTCCTCTGGCTCCCCCTGCTGGTTCAATACGAACCCTTTGCTGACAATCTCTTCTTCTTCTGCTTCTGCCGCAGCCAGCCTGAGGACTATTTTCATCCCATCCTCGTACATTTCTCCTTGTTACTTACGACCTAATCCTTGTACGCCGCCGTCTCCAGGCTTTCTCTGATAGAATCACAATTTCGCGGCATTGTGGTTCTATCTCAACTGTTCCCTCTTGTACTACTACGACTTATACGATTTTCCTCCTCCTTCGCGTCATCACCTCTTTTATTCGCCTTGAAAAGCCATAGCCATTGATTGCATGGGAATTGTATAATTTATAATAAAACTGCAAGCATCATGGGCGTCCCCAATGGAAGTTCGAGCAACGGTCACGTTAGCTCTCGTGCGGCTAAACACAATCTCCCCTCACATTTCATCGGTGGAAATCACCTGGACGCAGCACCTCCAAGCAGTGTAAAGGATTTCGTTGCCAACCATGAGGGTCACTCCGTCATTAGTTCGGTGAGTGGCAGCCCCCCGAGTCTCGAGAAGACAGTCTTGCATTGCAATTTGAGCAAAAAGTTGCTGATTTGGTTGGTTTGGTTGAATAGGTGCTTATTGCCAACAACGGTATCGCAGCCGTCAAGGAAATTCGGTCTGTTCGGAAATGGGCTTATGAGACATTCGGCAACGAACGCGCCATTCAGTTCACGGTCATGGCCACACCGGAGGATTTGCGGGCAAACGCCGATTACATTCGTATGGCCGATCAATACGTCGAGGTAGGCAGTCGCAAGTCTGGCCGAGGAGGGTTGCCAAATGGCTAATTTTTCTCGTTTACTAGGTACCCGGAGGCACAAATAACAACAACTATGCGAACGTCGAGCTGATCGTCGATGTCGCCGAGCGAATGGATGTCCATGCCGTCTGGGCTGGTTGGGGTCACGCCTCGGAGAACCCCAGACTTCCCGAAGCTCTGGCTGCTTCCCCCAAGAAGATCATCTTCATCGGTCCTCCGGCCTCTGCGATGCGTTCTCTGGGTGATAAGATCTCTTCGACAATTGTTGCACAGCATGCTGGTGTGCCTTGCATTCCGTGGTCAGGAACTGGAGTTGACGATGTGACAATTGATGACAATGGTATTGTCACCGTTCCCGACGAGGTCTACAACCGGGGTTGCACCTTTTCCCCTGAAGAAGGTCTGCAGAAGGCCAAGGAGATTGGTTTCCCCGTGATGGTGAAGGCCTCGGAAGGTGGTGGTGGTAAGGGTATCCGTAAGGTCGAGCGCGAGGAGGATTTCGTCAGCCTTTACAATGCCGCCGCAAACGAAATCCCCGGTTCCCCTATCTTCATCATGAAGTTGGCTGGCAATGCCCGGCATCTGGAGGTCCAGCTGCTGGCTGATCAGTACGGAAACAACATCTCTCTGTTCGGCAGAGATTGCTCCGTTCAGCGTCGTCACCAGAAGATTATCGAGGAGGCCCCCGTCACCATCGCAAAGCCCGCCACGTTCCAGGCCATGGAGCGTGCTGCTGTCAGCCTTGGAAGGTTGGTCGGTTACGTCTCCGCCGGTACCGTTGAGTACCTGTACTCGCACGCCGATGATAAGTTCTATTTCCTCGAATTGAACCCTCGTCTTCAGGTCGAGCACCCCACCACCGAGATGGTCTCCGGTGTCAACCTGCCAGCCGCCCAGCTGCAGATCGCCATGGGTATCCCCCTGCATCGCATTCGTGACATCCGTCTGCTCTACGGTGTTGACCCCAACACCTCATCCGAGATTGACTTCGACTTCTCCAGCGAAGAGAGCTTCAAGACCCAGCGCCGCCCTCAGCCCAAGGGACACACGACGGCCTGCCGTATCACTTCCGAAGATCCCGGTGAAGGTTTCAAGCCCTCCAGCGGTACCATGCACGAACTGAACTTCCGCAGTTCGTCCAACGTCTGGGGTTACTTCTCCGTCGGTACCGCCGGTGGTATCCACAGCTTCTCCGACAGTCAGTTCGGTCACATTTTCGCCTATGGTGAGAACCGTTCGGCGTCGCGGAAACACATGGTTGTCGCTCTGAAGGAGTTGAGCATCCGTGGTGACTTCCGCACGACAGTCGAGTACCTGATCAAGCTGCTGGAGACTCCGGCGTTCGAAGAGAACACCATCACCACTGGATGGCTGGATCAGCTCATCTCGAACAAGCTGACCGCTGAGCGTCCAGACCCCATCGTGGCTGTTCTGTGCGGTGCGGTAACCAAGGCTCACCTGGCCAGCGAAGGCGGTGTCGAGGAGTACCGCAAGGGCCTCGAAAAGGGTCAGGTGCCTTCCAAGGATGTCCTCAAGACCGTCTTTCCCGTGGACTTCATCTACGAGGGCCAGCGTTACAAATTTACCGCGACCAGAGCCGGCTTGGACAGCTACCACCTCTTCATCAACGGATCCAAGTGCTCGGTCGGTGTCCGTGCTCTGGCTGATGGTGGCTTGCTCGTTCTCCTGAACGGTCGCAGTCACAACGTCTACTGGAAGGAGGAAGCCGCTGCAACTCGCCTGAGCGTCGACGGAAAGACGTGCTTGCTGGAGCAGGAGAATGATCCTACTCAGCTCCGCTCTCCGTCCCCCGGAAAGCTTGTCAAGTTCACTGTCGAGAATGGCGAGCACGTCAAGGCTGGTCAGGC